CTGACCAACTCGGCATAACTAACAGAATTTGTGGTGGTCTAGATGGTCCAGTATTTTTCACCACCCTGTGGGTTTTAAATATAGTTGTTGTCAGGTTTGAGTTGACTATTCAGGTGCTCTGGCAACTGTTTTGAATTCTTAAATTTGTTGTTCCACAGTAGTAGGTAATTTAATTAATCGTTAGCAGGAAATTATTCAAAGAGATGAATTAAATGTAAGAGCAGTTTATAACTTTGTGGCTATAAGGTAGCTAAATGTACAACCCAGATTTCAAAATAATTGGACAACATTTTGCTTCAGTTAATGTCTTAGCACTCCTTTATGCTGTATTAGCATTTTTATAGTGTTTAGGTTTGATGTTGTTTCTGAGCAGAAATAAAATCCTCTCTAGGTGCTTGCTGCTCAGGGGGAGATCCCTCTACCTGGTCTCATTTCCCCTGCTGCTGAGCTTGCTGTCATTGCTCACTGCTTAACCCTCACTGCTCTCCAGTGGCTTCTCCTTCCTTCACCAGTCTGGGGATGTGTTCTTGACACTCTCTTGGCGAACCTTCATGCAAAGAGGATGGATTTCATGTTTGTTTCATGGATTCAGATGGTATTGCAAGCTCTAAGATGAAAACTATTTGTATTTCCACCTGCTCTTTAGCATTTCACTTTCAGCCACCTCACATGTACTACCCCAGGTTTAAGGTTGAGAAAATAAAACAGTGTTCATCTGTTCTATCACTAAGTCATCTCTTCTCTCCATGGAAGACTTACCTTATTTGCTATGCTCCATTCTCTTGTAGTAGTTGAATTGCCCTCCTGTAAAAATGTATGTACTTTCTGAAATACGGTTGTGAGGTTTTGGGTTGCTTTTTTTTGGTGTGTTTTTTCCCCCTCATGGTCCCCAGCTAAAGGCCTTGTCCCTGCTCTGAGTAGTCTTTGCAACTTCCTCTTAGTTTTCCTCAGGTTCCCCAATAGGCTTTCAAATGCAGGTCCCCAACCTGTTGGTTTCTATGTTGTATTGTTTCCCTTCTCTGGCTCACATTAATATTTGAGTGTCTTGCATTAATCATTCATCATTTTTCACAGACCTGTGCCTTTATTTTAATTCCTTTTCTCTGCAACTCCTACTTCGACTTCTTGTTGTTCTTTGAATGTTTGATGCATTTTGTGTCTTTCTAAGAGTAGGTTGTTTGCAGCAGTCTGCATGAGACTGTCCATTTGCCTATCATTTTATCAGTGCAATATTATTTAATTGTAGCTGCAGCATGAGGTGTGTGTTACTGATGGTCATTTGAGGAAGAGAAGTACAGCAATCCTGGATACTTAAGAGGCTCTGAAGTTGCTCCATTGACTTGGAAGCAGGAGGATACAGTGAAAGGTTTAAAAATAAAAATAAATAAATAAAGACTTGAATTAGGCTACAACTTACATATTGAATTTACAAGTGAATATGTAAGTTTTTTCAGCAATGTTGGACTTTCTTTACTATTCCATCTCAATATATGGATAATTCAGGACAAAAGCCAAGTGTGTATTGCTTTCCAAATGCTTTTAAAGTTTCTCTTGTGGGTGTTTGTGTGGAAGAAATCCTTTTGGAGACTTCCTCACCTTCATAAATTGCTGTGTGACACAAAAGAGCCGAACACTTTGTTCCTGCCTCATTTATTTTGAAAACTTTGCAACTGAAACCAAACTTAATCAATGAGCTCTATGTTGTCTCCGATAAGTTATGTACTGGCTTTATTGATTGGGAAGGATTTTAGAAAACCCATGTGGGGTTTATAATGTCAGCAGTGTTTTGATTATGAAAAGAGTTGGAACCTTGGGACAAGGAGCCAGGTGGTGTATGTCCTAAAGCCACTGGTGACACGGCTGGGCTGAATCCCTCAGGGGACACAGTTCATGCCCTGCACTTTAACTGTGGTGACTGGCTGCTATAGATGCACTTTTTGCTCATTAAAATGTTAAAAATCAAACTGCATGTAAAAAGATTTTTGAAAATATAAACTTGGGGATTGATCCAGAGAAGTGGCATGTGATACCCTAGAGACACTGGTTTCAGCTACTGGGTAATTTACACTTATCAGCTGTGTAAACTGGATTGTTTGGGGTTTTTTTTCCCTTTCTTCTTTTTAGGATGTTTTGCTTTAGAGGATTTCATATAGGTTTTTCTTTAAGAAAATAGGCATTGGGGAATAACAAGAAATCAAACTATTGATACTGCCTGTATGTCTCATGTCAGGTAAAATCATAACAAGGATTAGAAGATGCTGACATGGAGAGATTCTAGGTTTGCTTCTGTTATGGTGTTGGTTTCAAATCATAAAGAAGTGGTGATTTCTCTAGGCCATAAGTAACCATCCACCTAAAGAGGTCTTGTAGAAAGGTGTGTATTATGTAGACATTGCTGATCTTTCAAACTGAACAATATTTAAAGAAAAAGAAAAAAGGCATTACATTTATAGTAACAATCTTGCAACTTGAGCAAAAACAGAATAGTTTTGCAGTGATTGTATTTCTTACATGCAAAAAATCAGCAGTTCTGCTAATTAAAAGCCAATCCTATATGTAATTTTATTTTTTTAATACTGATAATTTAAAACTACATCTGTGGTTAACATGCACTAGTCTCAATTTTGTTACCAACAAATCAAGGCAGATATGCATCATGAGTGGCAAATGATGTTCAATAACATAATAATGATACTGTAAAATCTTTCTTTGAAAGACCATAGTGGTACAGATTCAGGATATTGCCTTTTTAAGTTAAAATTTAATTTTCTGTGTTTAGGAAGCTGTAAATATCAAGAAACAGCTGCAAAGTAAGTTCTGAGTAATACACTATTATCCTACAATGACACAATGCTGAGGAGATGCTGAAGCATTTTATTGTGTGAATGTTTTTGCTTACAGTTAAAGTAATTATTTAAACTATCAAAATAATGGAAAGAATATATTCTGCCATTTTGAGGTGACTGAGTGCTTGGTATATTTTAACCCTCTTGTATTTCAGAATTCTACGTAGCAGCTACATGGCTTTGTTTCTGAAAAACAGATGTACAGTCATTATTCTGAGGACAATTTGTATTGATACGGTCAATACAAATATGGGCACTTCACTCTCCTGTGATTATAATTTTGATTCTCTTAGAATTATTTTTCTGTGTGTTTGTTTTTTTAACATTTTATGCATTGAGGTTTCAGTTGTGGGTAAAGGACAACTGTGTAATAGTTATAAGTTTTGAAGGTGTAGTGTTTGTGGATAAGCACAGTTGTTCAGCAAACAGTTGATCCTCGTGAAAGTTGGTAAGATTCTGCACAAGGGTCACATTAATGAGGCCTTTGCTATCACGGTGTTACTTTGTATGTAAATATATATTTCTATAGAGCTTTCTCTGAAACATGTACAGTTCCTTTCCAA